GGGTTTGATAGAGGGATTGGAGGGAGCACTGTTCTGAACAGTAGCCTGGAGCTAAGATCTCCCCATCCCAGGGGAGGGCAGAGCCATGGGCAGAGGGGGCAGGGGGCTGTGGGCACCTGGGAATTATGGCACACTCACATACCATAGCCTGGATAACTTAATCATGTTTAATTATATTACTCAAATAATCACTCAGGGAGCTCTTTGACACTTCTTGCCTGCATAGTGTAGTGTGTATATCTATATCTATAGATATATAACATTTATAATCCATCAGTTTGTCTATTTTTAATGTATTTGTTTATAAATTATCTATTTTTCTGTGAATTTATTTATTTATTTACTTCTTCATTTATATGTCTGTGTGCTGGTATAAGGTCAAACATTTCAATTCATGTTCAAAACTTGACTTGTCACAATAGATTTAAACAGTGTATACATATGTAATTTGCCATACAAGCAGCTATAAAACACACACGTGTCACACACAGACACACACCCACACACCCACACACACATATGCATACACATACATATGCACACACATGCATGCATACATATGCATGCATACATATGCACGCACACACACACACACACGCCTACACATACATATGCACACACATGCATACATATGCATGCATACATATGCATGCACACACGCACACACACACACACACACACACACACACACACACACACACATACATACATAGGCGCACGCATGCATGCATACATATATACACACTTATGCACAAACATGCATGCATACATATGCACACACACACACCTATATATACACACACATACTTACATATACACACACACATACATAGATATGCACACACACATTCATACATACATATGAATACACACACATTCATACATACATATGCATTACATATGCACACACACACACACACACACACACATATATATATATATATACACATACACACACATATTGCACACACACACATACATACAAGCACACAAAAACATACATACATATTGCACACACACACATGCATATACACATACATACACACACATATACACACTGAATTGTTTACATTGTAGGACAGAGTTGTGTGCCATGTGGTTGCCGCTATAAATCCCCCTCCACTGCCCCGTGTTATATTACACATTGTTGTAGTAATGATGTGGTGTAGTCCATACATTGGACCGGATCCTGGGAGCAGTAGTTCTTATGTCTCCACAGCGTTTGCCTCCTATTCCTGATGTAATTCTTATGAATAGTGTGGGAGTATTCCAATGTTCCACTTCTCGGTTGAGTTCGGGGCCTTGCAGACGGGAGAGCTGTTCTTGTAAATGTATTGTTTTTGAATCTTTATTGATTAGGGGATTGGAGGTGAGAGGTTACAGGGAAGCAGCTATATCCTGTTGTAGTGTAAGCACAGAGTGGTGAGTAGGATGAAGGCAGGCTGCTTGGGTTACACTCAGCCGTTGGCACTGGCTCCCCAGTCTTTTGGTTTTGGAAAGGGTTCTGTTCCATGGTGCCCCCACCTTCTCCAGCCCGGTTCCCAGTCGTAATCTCTTACCGCCAATCTTCCAACGCTTTCAGTCCTCCAGAATGCATTTTTTACCATTTTTATTTTATTATTTTTCTCTAGAATTTTTTTTTCAATCCTCTAAATCCTTGACAACATATTTCATTCTCAACCTTCCCACCTTTATAACCTGACGCCAACATAATTTTTCTCAGTCTTCAGTTTTTGCAGCTTCCAGTGTCACCTCCTTCCCACCACCTTCACCTCACCCAATGGACTTTCAATAAGTGTTGTCAGCTTGCTGCGCTCGTCTGTGTCCTTTCTTCTCAGTCCCCAGTGCCTGAAAGATGTTAAAATAACAGCACCGTGTCTGTGTCTTAGAGAGATTCACTCTCTCTGCTTGTCCCGGTGACTGCTGTCTCCAGTGCAGGAAGTGATGGAAAATCCAAAATGTTACAGTGTTCAGCAGGTGTGTGTGTATGGGGGGTTGGAATCTTCCAATAGGGATACCTGTCTCTGTGATGACTAAGAGGGGATTTTCCCTCACTTTGGAGAGATTTCCTATTCCTGTTGTGCTTGTGGGAGAGGAAGTGAAAGGAAATTCTGGTGGTGCCCAAAGGGACAACACCAGAACAGGAGGAAAGGCTGATTTTTTAAAATACCTTTTTAAAGTATACATTGTGAGGTTTCTTTTTTACTTCCCCCTCTTACTTTCCTCTTACTTCCTGTTGTGTTTTTGGGACTTTCAGATAAATCTCTCCATGGGACACTACCATAAGAAAAAAAGAGAGTTGTTTAACTATACGAAACAAGAAAAGTGTCTTTCCATTTACTTTAATGTAAAAACGGATTTTAGGTAATAATGTTAGCGATATTTAAAATTATTATTATTATAATACAGGATTTATATAGTGACAACACTTTGCACCACACTTTACAAAATGGAGAGAGACAGTACAGTTACAATACCATTTCAATACAGGAGGGTTAGGAGGGCCCTGCTCCTGGGAGCTTACACTCTAGTAGAAGGGTGAGTGATACAAAAAGTAATATTGATGTGGGATGAGTTCAGTGGCGTCACAAGGGAGGTGTG